CCTCTCTGTACTGCTCTGGGCCTTCTCTTGTCACTTGGCTTCTTATAAACGGGGGAGCAATCCCCCGTGTGGGGTCTTTAAAGATTACCCCACACGGCCATGGGAATTATAGTTGGAGAGCATATGAAGTTGAAGGATAGAGGCTGGCAAAGGTCATGAAGAGCACCCTGCCACGTGGGGCCATATCGGAGTGCTAAGGGAGCTGACTCAACCAAGGTAGTGCAGAGTTGAGACAGGGAGAGAGAGAGAGAGAGAGATATGAGGAGAGAGAGAGGACTCATGGACTAGTGCCTTTATTGGACGTCAGAAGGGAGTCCACAAGCAAAAGGTGTGAGGGGATTGGACTGATGGTGTTCATGTCACTAGGTCCCAGTCAGGGGAGCACAGAGTGGGGAATCTGTGGCCTGGACCAGCCTTAGCACACTGGTGCACCTGGTCACCTGGGCAATGTGCTCACAGCCCGTTTGCAGGGATGTTGAGGCATCAGGAAATTCTAAAGTTTGAACAATTGACAATATAATGTCTCACCATTGCCAGCCTTCTGTGTTGCAGAGATGCCAAGAGGGAGACAGGAGACTGAAGGGGTAATGATGGTGCCCTCACCCTCTTGAGTCCCCCTAACTCAAAGTCGTTCAGTGTCCTCGTCTCCATCTCACCCTGGGGAAGCCTCATCAGTGGCAGATAAAGCAGCCATGAGACAGAGGAGGCCATGAAGGGCCCTTCCTCCTTCAGTTGCCTTGCTCTTGAGCCTGGCTGAGGCTGAGGAATAAGTGTGTGAGAGTCATGATAGCGTCTTCAGGTTGGCCTGTAACTCCGACTCTGTGAATAAGTGAAGTCCAAAGGCAAGAACGTTTGTTCCTGGTCTCTGTGGGGTCATGTTGGCCCTGGCAACCTTGCCCCAGGTGGGGCCTGCCTTCCTCTGGGAACGGCACCCTCTGTGGTGAGGACCTGCAACCTGGCTCCATCTCCTCCTCTTCAGAAGGTGGACAGGAAGAGGAGAAGGGATGCTTCTTGCTGCCCTTGTGAAAACTCAGCCTCCAGGCTCACCAGGGATAGAGACCTGTAGATTCCCATTCTCTTCAGGAGTTAGGGAAAATGAGGGAATGGATTTAGGATTTCACTTTCTCCAGAGGGAAAAAGGAAGGTCTTCTCAGAAATAGCATCCTTCTCGCTCTTTTTCGCCTTCAGTTGCTTTCAATTTAAGTCAATTAGACAGAAAACGAGCTCATAGAACCTACAGCTGAACACACCTGGGGTTCCTATTTACCTATTTATTATTTATTTGTCTTTTTCCCCCCTTCTCCCCCCAGCATCTTGTTCTTGAAACTTGTCTGGTTCAGCATTTCACTGGCTTGGTTAAGTATCTTGTAAGGAAATCATTTATAATAAAGCTGGTATGCTTGGGTTTATCATTTCTAAGTGCGGGTCAGGATTTAGTTCGCTATGTTAAACTCTCCATGCTGCATGTGATTTGTCAAGCTTTGTCAGGAACAAAAAGTTCCGGGATGTGCAAAGCAGGACTGCTTGGTTTCCATGGAGATACTTCTAGTTAGGCTATGGAAATCCTGAAAAGGCCAGAGGATGAGTGACAATACAAGGATTTAGCGGCTGATCTGAAGAGCCAGACTGAATTAATGAGATTTTTCACAGAGCGTTATTAGCAAGGCTAGCACCGTATGGCTCTTAGGCCCTCGTTTTCTCAGCTGCAGTCTTGGAAAACAGAAATGGAAAGATTTAATTGCTGTTTTTTAAACCCTTTAAGATTATTTTAACCTATAACATTTTAAGGTTGTAATAAAAAATGGGGTTCTTTTTTTTTCATCATTCAGTTACCGTTATTACTGTGTTTTTGGTGGCAGTTGCCCTCCATGTGCATGAAGATGGGAAATTCAATAGTACTTATTATATTGAGCAGTTAATTCCCACATACTGTGAACACATTACTGTTCAAAGTAGGTTATCTGGCATTCCATTTAGAGCTGAGGGAGAGATACCATGTCGCTGGCTTTATGTCTCCTAGGGCTATATTAATTATTTATTATAGACTGCTGATGTCAACCGCTAACTCAGGCAGGTCAGAGTTTGTACATATATCTAACCAATGTCTGGCTTTTGGGAGTTTGGATGTGGATTTCTGGAAACTAGCAATCTGTGTGTTTTGTGAGTTTAATTCCATGTGCTGCCACTGCCGCTGTTAACACCAAAAGGAAAGGAGCTAAGGAGTCTTCTCGGCCATCTTCAGGTAGCGGTTGCCTCCAAAGTTTGGGAGACACACTGTCAGAGGCCTCCTTCTTCTCCCCCCACGGCCTCCCCGTCCTTGCCAACTTTTTTTTTTTGCTTTTGACATAAGTCTTGCTTTGTCACCCAAGCAGAGTGCAGAGGCGTGATCTTGGCTCACTGTAACTTCCGCCTCCTGGGCTCAAGTGATTCTCCTGCCTCACCCTCCTGAGTAGCTGGGACTACAGGCGTGCATCACCATGCCCGGTGAATTTTTGTAATTTTTTTTTTTTTTTTTTTTGGTAGAGAAGGGGTTTCACCATGTTGACCAGGCTGGTCTCGAACTCCTGGCCTCAAGCGATCTGCCTGCCTAGGCCTCCCAAAGTGCTGGAATTACAGGCGTGAGCCACCGCATCCAGTCTCTTCTCCCTTTCTTTGCAAGGATTAATACCAGAACTAATTCCAGTCCTTTTTTATTCTCCACAACTGTGGTGAACCCAGCTCTGAGCTTAGAAATTATGGGTGCGATTAGCTGGTTGCCTTTTCATTTCCCACACTTTCCCTGCGCAAACTCTCCATAAAATGTCAGTATCTGCCACTTCCTGAAACGAGACGTGCGGTGCAGGGAAAGCAGCTCGCCAGGCGCTGCTCTTGCTTGTTGGTTTGTAGAAGGGCACATGCCCATATGTTTCTGGGAGATGTAAAACCATCGTGTTGCTGCTGAGCAATCCACAACAAAAGCACATGCTGCCTGCATTCCCCAGATTCCTGTACAGTAGACTAATCCACTTAATCTCACTGTTAGCTTCCCCGGGCGGGAATTTCACAGTCTCTTTTGATTTAGTGGTTTGTAAAATCTCTGATTAAGTGCCTCTGCCCTCCTGTTATTGTCTCTCTATTCCCTAAATGATTTTGCGGGGAAGAAACCAGGGAAGTTGAAACAGGGGTCAACACACCCTCATCCTTACCTACTTACTCGGTTTTTCTTTATCATTCTTAATTGAATTGTTTTAGTTTTATGCACTTTTTTCCCCCTTGACTCTGCTGACACGTGACAGCATTTTGCTTCTTAAATTATAAAATACGCCCTTTTACTTTGCCAATTCTTGGTGGGTCCTCCCAGCTGTGCTAAGTTTATCTCTTGGAATCTAAGAATCCACTACTCTCCTTGTCTTTAGAAGGGTGGTGATGTGAGCAAAGGTAATGGAAACAGACAGACCTGACCTTGAGACCTAGTTCTGTCATTTGCTAGCTGTGTGATTGTGGGCAAGTTGCTTCACCTCTCTGGTCCTAATTTCCTCATTAAAAGTGAAGATTAAATGCTACAGCATATAGAAAGTTCCTAAGTGGGCCAGGTGCAGTGGCTTACACCTGTAATTCCAGCGCTTTGGGAGGCCAAGGTGGGAGGATCACATGAGCCCGGGAGTTTGAGACCAGCCTGGGCAACATAAGGAGACCTCATCTCTACAAAAAATACAAATAAATTAGTGAGGCATGGTGGTGTGTGCCTATAGTCCTAGCTCTTCAGGAGGCCGAGGCAGGAGGATCACTTGAGTCTGCTGGGTCAAGGCTGCAGTGAGCTATGATCATACCTCTGCACTCTAGCCTGTGCAGCAGAGCAAGATCCTGTCTCTAAAAAATAAAAATAATAAAAAAATAAAAAAAATATATATATAAAGTGCCTACATGCCTGCACAAAGTAGATACTCAACAAATGATGATAGTAATAGCTATCATTCCTATAGGTGTACATATTGTACACAGCAGTGATTTGACTTGGGGCATTTTACTAAGTCCTTTGATGTGTGTTTTCCTGATGTCTCTGCTTAGATTAAGCTTCTTGAAGTTAAGAGCCCAAGCTTTCTATTTATTTTGTAACTGCTTCCTGCATTTACTTTGTGCTATTTTCCTGCCTGATTCTCTGCCTCAAAAATGCCTATCGTCATCATAGCAATGCCCAAACTAACTCCAGTTCTACAAATAAAGCTTACGTCCTTCTCATCAGAGTGTAGCAGGTACAAATTGCACTCTAGAATTTGGAAGTAGGAAACATGGCAGTTCATTATTTAAAAAAAAAAAAAAAAAGAGGAAATTACATGTGGCTCTGAGCTCCCACTATGGAAGTGGGAAAGAAGGGAGGGAGGGAAGGAGGGAGGGAGGGAGGAAGGAAGGAAGGAAGGAAGGAAGGAAGGAAGGAAGGAAGGAAGGAAGGAAGGAAGGAGGAAAGAAGGAAGGAAGGAGGGAGGGAGGGAGGGAGGGAGGGAGGAAGGAAGGAAGGAAGGAAGGAAGGAAGGAAGGAAGGAAGGAAGGAAGGAAGGAAGGAAGGAAGGAAGGAAGGAAGGAAAGGAAGGAAGGAAGGAGATACCTGGAGGTATTTTCAGTTGTTGGCAGTGACTTTTTTTTGTTTGTTTTTGAGACAGAGTCTCACTCTGTCACCCAGGCTGGAGTGCAGTGGCATGATCTCAGCTCACCGCACCCTCCACCTCCCAGGTTCAAGCAATTCTCCTGCCTCAGCTCCTGAGTAGCTGGGACTACAAGTGCATGCCACCATGCCCGGGTAATTTTTTGCATTTTTAGTAGAGACCAGGTTTCACTGTGCTAGCCAGGATGGTCTTGATCTCCTGACCTCGTGATCCACCCACCTTGGCCTCCCAAAGTACTGGGATTACAGGCGCAGTGACTCTTAAGTTTACCATATGTGTCACTTGCTCCCATACGATCTCTATACTCGGATTATTGTCCTCTAGTGGGCTGTTTCCTTCCTTTTAGTCCCTCATACCTACCATGCTTGCACCAGTGTCTCAGACCAATTATGGCAGCCAGTCCATTAACTGTGGATCCCTCCAAAGGTATCCCAAGACTCCGTTTCCTCATTCAGTACCTCTGCTCCAGCACTAGATTGAGAAGGAAAGAAAAATTAGTGTTTATTGATCATTTCCTATATAACACATTTAAATGTGTTGCCTAGTTTAGAATCAGGCTATAATCCCAGCTCTTCCATTCCAAGCTGCATGACCTCAGGTGAGACACTTACCCTCTGCAAGATTCACCTTACCTCACCTGTAAAAAGAAGATGCTAAAAAAAAAAAAAAAAAAAAAAAAATCAATTAAAATAAAAGATTCTTTGGTACTATTAAGCTTTGGCCCTTATCTTTATCCGCTCCTAACAACCTAATTTTCTGACTCTGTAATTTTATTTTTTCCATTTTTTTCTTCTCTGCTAGACAAGAAATAAACGGAAAGCCAATCTTCAGATAAACTAATCAGTGCTAATGGATGTTAATGATTTAAGGGGTTTACCCTCTCAAAGGGATTTGCATTTTAATAGGTAAATTCCATTTCTTAGTTCAAAACATATTGAGTGTCTAGTGCCTGTCAGATTAACTTTAACCTAAAATTTCCCAAAACATGCACCATGAAAAAGAGTTCCCCGGTCAACTAAATTTTTAAAATGCAATGCATCAACTTCTGCTTCTGCCCAAGATGAGATAAAAGGGCCTGAATTTATCCTCCTTTCTGAAACAACAATAGAAAAACATACAAAATATATGAAATAATGATTTTCAAGACTTCTCAGCAGGGAACAAAAGGCAATAATTCAGACAGAGCATGAAGGGGAGTCCTAGGAGTACTCCAGCTTACTGCCCTGAGAAAACTTCCAGACTGCAGTGCAGGGAGGGGAAACCCAGGTAGAGCAGAGGAGATGGGGCTGAGGATGTAGGAGATCACCATGGCTGGAGGTCATGGGATGGCATTCAGAGAGAAAACCCTGGACATCTGCAAAGGTCCCGCATGAGTGCACAACAGAGTACAGACCAACACATGCATGTGAGGAAGCTACCCAAGAATGGGGCAAGAAAAAAAACCTGAAAGAATGAGAGAATAGTGCCTGACACATACACAAAGCTGAGAATAGTGACTATTCCCAACAACCAGACTGGAAAACTCAATTCGTGAGGCATTTGGGTAGAATACTTAGCAACGTTGTGCCTTAGTAGTGGAGAATAATTAGCCTCAGATAAAGCGGTTATGGACCTGCCTAACAAATCATAAAAGCTATATCTGAAAGAATCAAATCATTTCCAATTCATCCCAGAACAAAGCTCAAGAATAGTTATACAAGAATATTTAAACAAAAATATTTAGAGCTCAACAAGGTAAAAATCCACAATGTCTGGCATCCAAATAAAGATATCAAGCATTCAATAATCAGTGAATTGAAGGCAATCCAGAACCAGCACAGACGTTAGTTAGAACTAGCAGACAAGAACAAACTAGTTGTCAGAACTTTATTCTATATGTTCAGATAGTGAAGTAGAGATATGGAAAATATTTTAAAAGACCCAAATGAAACTTCTGGAGAAAAACTTTACTGTCTGAGATTAAATAATAAATGGGATTGATGGCAGATTAGACATAGTAGAAGAAAAAATTAGTGAACTTGAAGATGTATAGTAAGAGAAAATATCCTAAATGAAGCACAGAAAAAGTAGACTCAAACAAATGATAAAAGTATCAGTGAGATGTGAAAAAACTTCATGTAGCTTAATATGTGCATAATCAGAAAAATGATCAAAGGCATTCTGATTGAGAATTTTTCAAAATGGTTTTTCAAAACAAGATAAATACCAAACAAACAAAAATACTAGAATAGCACGGTAAAACTGCAGAAATCAAAGACAAAGAGAAAATCTTAAAAGCAGCCAGAGAAAGACACATTACATTTATGAGAACAAAAATAACATAGATAATAGAAATAGAAGCCAGACATACCTGTAATCTCAGCACTTTAGGTGGCTGAGGTGGGTGGATCACTCGAGGCCAGGAATTGGAGACCAGCACGGCCAACATGGCAAAACTCCATCTCTACTAAAAATACAAAAATTAGCTGGGTGTGGTGGTGGGCCCCTGTAGTCCCAGCTACTCAGGAGGCTGAGACAGGAGAATCACTTGAGCCTGGGAGGTGGAGGTTGCAGTGAGCCACCAAAATTGCACCACTGTACTCCAACCTGGGTGACAGAGTGAGACCCTGTCTCAAAAAAAAAAAAAGAAAGAAATAGAAGCCAGAAAAATATATCATTATTAAAGTGTTACACATAGATAAATAAAGTAAGTAAATGACTGCCCACCTAGAACTGTATACTCCAAGACAACATCCTTCAAGGTAAAGGCATAATAAAAAAAGTATTCAGATAAACAAACACTCAGATAATCCATTGTTGGCAGAACCATGCAAATAAAATACTGAAAAGAGATCTTCAGATTGAAGGAAAATAATTCTGGAAGAAAACACTGTAAAGCAGATAAGGACCGAAGAGCACTGGGCAGGATAATTGTGTGGGTAAATCTATATCTACCTTATCTGATGAAAACAGAAATAAAAATGTCTTGTGTTTAAAATATACATGGAAGTAAATAACATGAAAGCAATAGCACAAAAGGCTGGAGGAAGGTAAATGAAGTGAGTATTCTAAATCCAGGAAGTGGTAAATATACAAAGTTGACATTGACTCTAACAAATTGAGTTCACATATGGTAATCTCTAGGGCAACCACTAAGATAACAGTACTAAAAGATATAAATAAAAGCTAATAGACAGAAAAGGAATAATAAAATACACTCAGTAAATACTAAAGAAGGTTGGAAAGCAGAGAATAGGGACACAAAGGACACGTGTGAAAAACAAAACATAATTGCATGGTAGATACAAACCTACATTTATCAGTAATTATTTTAAATGTAAATAGAACATATATTCCAATCAAAACAAAGGCAGTCAGACTGTATTTTAAAATACCACAACTAGATGCTACTTACATAGACACAATCTAAATGTAAGAAAACCAAAAGATTGAAAGTAAGAGTTACACCATATGACCACTTACCAAATGAAAGCTGAAAAAGCTCCACTATTAGTAGAAAAAGGAGACTTTAAGGCAAGAAATTCTACTAGAGATAAACATGAAATTTTTGTTAATGTGAAGCAGACAAATTTAGTTAATAAAACAGGGTCAATTCAACAGGAAGATATAATGATGCTGAAGTTGTACATATAACATATAACTTTAAAATAAAACTTCATATAACACATATAAATAAATAATAAAAATATACAAATAAAATATATTAATATATAATAAACTTCATATGACATATAACTTTAAGATATATAAATAAAAAGTTTACAGAATCAAAAGGAAAATTAGACAAATATGCAAATATACTAGAAGATTTTATTAGTTTTCTCCCAGTAATCAATAAAACAATTGGATATACAGAATATTTAAATACTTTTAACAAGCTTGATCTAATTGACATGTATTAAAAATTGCACCCCCAAAGTGCTGAATATAAAGGCATTTTAAGTGCCCAAGGAATATTTTACTAAAACTGAATTAATTCCGAGCCATAAAGTGAGTCCCAACAGATTTGTTAAGGATAGAAACCAGAGTGTATTCTCTAAGCACTATAGAAGTAAGCTAGAAACCAGTAACAAAATCCTACCTAGAGAAACACCAAATGTTTGAAAACTTAAGAGTAAACTTCTATGTAACTGAAGGGTGATAAAAGAAATCATGCTGGAAATTAGAAAATATTTCAAGCCAAAGCAAAATGAAAATACTATATATAAGAACTTGGGGGCTGGGTGCAGTGGCTCACGCCTGTAATCCCAGCACTTTGCAAGGCCAAGGTGGGTGGATCACCTGAGCTCAGGAGTTTGAGACCAGCCTGGCCAACATGGTGAAACCCCGTTTCTACTAAAAATACAAAAAATAGCGGGGCGTGGTGTCTGGCACCTGTAATCCCAGCTACTCGGGAGGCTGAGGCAGGAGAATCACTTGAACCCAGCAGGTGGAGGTTGCAGTGAGCCAAGAGATCGCGCCACCGTACTCCAGCCTGGGTCACAGAGCGAGACTCCGCCTCAAAAACCAAACAAACAAACAAACAAAACAACTCGTGTTATGTGACTAAAATAATGCCAAGATGGGAATTTTTTGTTTTAAATGCATATATGGAAAAAGAAGAAAAGTTGAGATTAATTAAGCATCTATTTCAAGAAACTAGAAGAAAAAATTTAAAGAAAATTGAAGGAATGTAATAATAAAGTTAAGAGCAGAACTCCATGAAATAAAAAACAAAAACAGACAAAATCAACAAAATAAAAAGTTGTTTTTTAAAAGATTGATAAATTTTTTTTAAAAAGGTTGATAAAGTTGACAAACTCTAACAAGCCTGATCAAGAACAAAAAAATAAAAGACACAAATTTTCAACATGAAGATTGAAAAATGGGAAGTCACTACAGTTACAAGGGATATTTAAAATAAGTTGTAGAGAAATTTAGAAGTAGAAAAATTCTTTGAAAAATATAGCTTACAAAATGGACACAGGGAGAAATAGAAAAACATAAGCAATCTTATTTCTCCTAAAGAAATTGTGTTTAAAATGAAAAACCTCACTTCAAAGATAAATCCAGGTCCAGATAACTTCAACATGAAGTCATCCTTTTAAGAAAGAAATAACACCAATTCTTCTGAAATATAGATATGGAGAAAACATTTTCTATCTCATTTCATGAGGCTAGCATAACCTTGACAAGGATACTACAAGAAAAAAATTACAATATAATACCTGTCATAAATAGGCACAAAGATTCTAACAAAAAAATAGTAGTAAACTGAACCTTTAATGTATAAGAAGATAGTGCATAATGGCCAAATTGTCTTTATTCAAAGTGCGCAAGGTTGGCTTAACATTCCAAAATCAATTAGTGAAATTCTCCACATTAACAACAGATGAAGGCAAAAAATCATATCATCATCTTCCCAGATGCATTAAAATTATTTGATAAAATTCAACAGTTATTCATGATGAAAACTCTCAGTAAATTTGGAATTAAAAGAACTTCTTTAAACTAACAAAGAGTATACACAAAACACCCATGGCAAGCATCCTACTTAACAGTAGTGTACTGAAATATTTTCATTTGATTTTGGGAACAGATGAGGATTTCAGCTATCATTATTTCTATATGACATTTTACTGGAGGGTGTACTGCAATAAAGAATGAAAAAACATTAGAGTTACAAGAATTGGGAAAAAGTCCCTAAAAACTATTACCATATACAGAAAATATGCTTATGTATGTAGAATCTCAAAAAGAATCTACTGATAAACTATGATATTTAATAAGTGGATTTACCAAAGCCATTGGCTACAAGGTAAGGATGCAAAAGAAAAAAATCAATTGTATTCTTAGATTAGAACAAATAATTAGA